CCGGTGCCCAGTTGATATGGAAAATTGAAGGAATGTTGTTGTTCTTCGTTGCGAAAGACTATGTCATTTCTTTGAATAATACAAATTCCGCAATCACCGAGATTTGCAATTCGAAGTTCATCTTCTCTCAAAATTGCTATCAGCGCAGTTGAAGAACCGATGATACCCTTTAACATTTTACGAGTCGGAATGAGATGATGTTAACTCTGGTGAAAAATGAAATAACAGGTAAAGTGCCTTAATTACCTCCATCGCACAATCTCGTATACACTGCTCGTAACTTGTTTGTAGGATATCTTGCGGATAGACCTCGTTATAATGATATAACCTTTCTTCGTCACGATTATTATCATACTTCTCGAGTTCTGCATATGCATAGTGCATTAATTTTCTAGAGTACAAAGCTGAATCGGGAACTACAAATCGATAAGTAACGGGAGGATCAGAATGAGTTGGGTGAAGACAAAGAATTCGCAAGTGATTAAGCCAATATCATCCTAATATATCTCCACAAAGTTCCATCGGCAAATAACCAAATAATTTACCTGCATTCCGTGATGGGGTGACATTACGCCATCCGCCAACTCCATCTGCAACTCCTAAAGCATCGTGCCTTCGAAAGAAAGCGTCCTCCCCGCAACCGACACTGAAATATTTTCCGTTATTCGGGGTGGAAACTAGTTGATCGGTGTGCTTTGCTATGCCGGAAGCGCCGTGGGTAAGCAAGAAAGGATTCTGTGAGGTAAATGGTCGTTCCAAAAAATTTAATAAATGAGCGCTTGCAATCGGTTCCAGGTTAGAAGATGTTTCCAGAAATTTTCGGGGCTTGGAATTAGGTTTGAATGTTCGTATTATCGATCGATGTTTTGAAAGTTTATTGTGAAACGACTGGCGAATGATGTGTGAGAAAAAAGGTAATGAAGAAAAGGTGGTTGATCTTGAGATTAATGAACCATGATTGGTAAAAGGTGAAGATGAAGATGATTTTCGGATAAACGAGTTGGTGGATCCGGAATACGCAGGACGCGAGGTGGTAAGTAGAAGGCTTGACGAAGAAGATGAATATCTTCTATTGGATACGTTTATGTATTTTTTAAGTTGGGGTATATTTTGTCGCGCGAAGGAAGTAGTAAAGCTCATGATGAATTGAATCGATTCTAAATTTCGTCACGATTGTGATGCGGTAAATAACTGATAGATAGATAAATAAAAGAAGACACGCAACGAGAACGCGTTGGGAAAGATTAAATTCGCCTCAGATAGATTTGATAAATTTCTCAGGCAAAAAGACTCAAATTCAAAGGGAAAAAGTTGCAGAAAAGCCGAATGAAAATTCTTAACTTTTTATATAATATTGGTTATCTAGAAATCGTGTATTTCAAAAAAATTAATTGAATACATTGAATACATATAAATTGCATACGCACAGAGATTTGGTGATAAGATAGGAGTTGAATGATTTACAGTCAAATTTGGGTCAATTTAATTCGCAAGAGTCAACCCTATTGGCGATTAAATATATTTACACAAGCACAGACTGGTTAAGGCATTTGGATATCTCAGCCATACTGAAAATTGTAACGTATAAGGCACGTGATTCACATGATAAGTATGTGACCCAAAACATCGTCTCGAATCACGAAGTCATTGAAAAAATATTTTCCCACGTGTATTCTTTTAGTATGTCAATCCTCCAAAATAAACAGCAATCTAAGGTTACTCGGTTCAGTTTTAGAAAACCAAATTTAAAATGAACGCGAACTAGATTATCTTTTATCAGGAGTGCGGGAGACGATGATTGGGTGAAAAGAGCGAGGGCATATCACTTTGACCCACATGAACTTCTCATTCATATGATCTCCATGACACGTGATAATAATTGTCTTTTTGCATATGACACGAGTTCACTTATGGAACAATATGAATTTTTAAAAAGCCGACCACCTTCGAAACTTTCCTTATTGTTCTCAGAGCACAGTCGCGCTGTAGAAAGAATGTCGACCTCAAAATTTTGGGCAACTTTGGCGCACGATATTGGCAGCTTATTGAGTGATGACGGTGATTTAGATGAATATAACGTTATAATTCAAGTTGGTCAATCTCCTAACTCTCAACGTTTTCATGCTCACTCAATTATATTAAGAGCTAGATCACCATACTTTCGTACCGCACTCTCAAAGAAATGGGTGAAAAGGGATGGCAATGTTGTGATATTTTCAAAGCCGAATATATCACCAAAAGTTTTTGATACCATCCTTCAGTGCGTATTTGATCAAAAAAAATTTTTTTCCTACTTCTTTCTCATATAACTCATATTACACCTTGTCCTCTTCTTAGGTTTATGTATAGCGGTGAAGTTTCATTGCAAAATAAGAGTATTGTGGATGCCCTCGATCTATTAGTGGCAACTGATGAACTATTGTTAACAGAATTATCGGATCATGTACAAGAATATCTTCTTTGTCAAGAAGATGGATGGTTGAAGGACAATATAATAGTACTTTGGAGAAAGATTCATCAGTATGAGTCATGTCGGAAGCTTCAAGAGTATTGTCTTCAGTTGATTTGCAAAGAGCCTCATTACCTTTTTGATTCCGACGAATTCTTGGCGATGGACGAGACGTTGCTTATTCCGTTCTTAAATTTAGATAATTTGCAAATTAGTGAGGTTGAAATTTGGGACTATCTAATCCAGTGGGGAATAGCGCAAATCCCTTCATTGGCATCAACTCACATAAACGATTGGACTACCGATGATTTCGATGTCCTCTCCATGAAATTAAAAAATTGCATACCGTTCATTGGACTTAATCAAATTTCCTCGACCGATTTTTTTGATAAAGTTTGGCCCTATAGAAGCATTTTACCTGTCAATATATTGGAAGAGAGCATGAGATATTATTTGAAGCCCTCATGCCCACCAAAACCCGTCGTGTTGGCGAAAAGGTTACAGTTTGATTCTGCGCTCATTCGACCTTGTCATGCCGCATTGATCTCCAGTTGGATAGACAGGTTAGGGCAGAAAAGATATTTATACGAAGAGATCCCGTATAGATTCCAATTGTTGGTTAGAGGTACGAAGGATGGCTTTGATTCAAAGATCTTTCATGAAAAATGTGATGATAAGGGTAAAACTGTTGTGGTGATGAAAATCCATAGTACTGGCGAGGTTATAGGAGGATTTAGCCCAGTCTCCTGGATGACAAGAGATGGATACTGGAATACCGAAGACAGTTTCTTGTTTACCTTTGGGAATCGTGGGGTAGTAGAAGACGCCAAATTGAGTCGTGTATCGAGGCAAAGGTCTTATTATGCGATAAGATTCAACGGAA